TGCTATAATTTGAAGTACCTATGAATGAAATTTGCCTTTTCTTTTTTCTTTCTTTGCTGAGTTAGGGAGCTTGTCGTAAGCTTAGGAGCTGGAAGTCTCATCATATTTTTATGAGCTAAAGAGCTCATCGTTTGTTTATGAGCTGAAGAGTTCATCGTTAATTCATAAGTTGAAGAGCTCACCGTTAATTTATGAGCTGAAAAGCTTATCTTTAATTTATGAGCTGAAGAACTCATCGTAGATTTATGAGCCTAAAAGCTCATCTTAGATTTATAAGCCTAAGAGCTCATCTTAGATTTATGAGCTTGAGAGCTCATCGTTGATTTATGAGTTGGAGGGCTCATCGTGGATTTATAAGCTGAAGAGCTTATTATAGATTTATGAGCTGAATAGCTCATTTTTTTTGCTTTAAGTTGTTGATGGAATCTTGTTGAGCTGAAACTTGTTATTTTATTGAAGATAGTCATCTTACAAAAATTCATTGAAAAAATCTTTTCAAATGCTTTGCGTTCCAAGAGTAAGGTATTACTTTTCCCTCTTCTGTTGATGCTCCCTCTGTAGGGTATCATCCTGGGCTAGTCATGTCTTCTGAGGACATTGTAGGAGTTTCAAGAGTTCTTCATTCTATTGCAGTAGACGTTGGTTAACTAAGTGAAAAGCCTCTAGTTCGTTATTTGGAGGGGGGTTCGCCATGGGAGAATTAGTCTCAGTGGTGGGCAAGAAGTCTTGAGGATTCTTTTGTTGTCTTCCACTATTGGCCTCCTGCTAGTTCTACATCTGTGGAAGGTTCAATTGGCTTCTGCTCATATTGTGCATAGAGACCATCAATTACTGAAGAAAATCAATATATTTGTAACAGGAACAATCGTTTCCACAAATAGCGCCAAACTGATGGTGTATAGAACGTGACAGAGCAGAACGTGTGTGCTATGAGGTCTGGTCTGAGCTACAAGGCTCTGAAGGATATTGAGGCTACTTTAGGGAAAAAAGAAAGGTAGGTTACACAGAAGGGTTATAGTGGTTCACCGACTCAGGAGCTCGACTAATCCACTCTTCAAGGGAGACTCTTGCTCCTGTAGATTTTATTAAAGACAGAAGAGAATTACATAGATCTCTTGATGCTAAGCTCTCTGTCCCCCATAATGAGGACTTTGTACAGTATATATAGCTTAATTCCTAGTTTCATGGAGTTTGGAGTGAGATCTTTGTCTCCCTTCCATGACGCTTTGCTTGATTTCAGGCGTTGGTTAGGGTGGTTGAGGTTCTTGTGCCTAAACTGTTGTTTAAGGCCGTTAAAGGGGGCATTTAGTGGTTGCCAGTTGTTTTCTACTCAGACCCCCAAAGTCTGAACTCGAACTTTCCTGGCTGAGCTTGAGCTTTCCTGGCTGAGCTCCCTTACAGACCTCAATGGTTGAGCTTAAACTTAGAATTTTTCTAGGTATCATCATTCATTATGCTGAAGAAATTAGTTTATGCTTACGAGTGTGGTGATTAAGCTTCATTTGTGGTACCAACATGTCTTTGGTTCAATGGTACTCTTTGTCTTGTAAAAACTTTGTATTTTTGAGGTCAATGATTCAAGTCCCCTTCTCCCCCTATGCGCCCCCCCCCCTCCCCCGGGAAAAAAAAAAAAAAAAAACTTCCTTTGTGGTTGTATACCCAATTGCCTCTTTGTGCTCATGGCTATATTGCTTGCTTTGAATTCAGGGAAGATTTTTGATCTGGGTGACTCCCTAGATTTCATGGGTTTCTTGTACAATGTTTCACTGAAAAAGCATTTCCCCATCACCTCTCGGCATATGACAGCCATTTGGGGAAAAGATCTAGGAAAATGCTATGCTTATTAAAAAATTTTGCTAAATTTTTCATACCAAACGATGTTGCACAATTTCTGTCAATGAATATTAATGGGGCTTACTTATCCGACGATGAAAAACTATATCACATCATTTAAGATGAAAATTTGATAAATATAGCATGACCCAAAGATCTATCCATTCTTTGCGGTGAATGGATATGTTTAGTTGCAGTTGGCATCTTTTTGAGTGTGTCCTGGTTTTGACATGACCAGCCCTGATGACTTGTGGGGCTCGGCAGATATGAGATAGCCGGTGAGTGCCGTTGAGTCGAGTCGAGTTGAGTGGAAAGTTCAATATTGGCAGTAAAAGCAGTAAAACATTGCATGGGTAACCAGGTTTACGAGAGTACCAAGAGATCTGATGAAAATCAAATGTAAGCATTATTATCCTTTGCAAAGATTCTATTTATTATGTGAAGCAATATGAAATTGTGTATGATTATCCTTACAGAACAGATTTAGAATCTCAGTATCTGTCATGGGGCCTCTCCTTCACAACATGGCCTGCGACCATGGGGCGAAGGCATCAGTGTCAACATTAATTTGAAGGGGCCTTATAAGTCTACATCCTTTTATTCCTTCCCTTTTGAACTTTCTTGTATAACAAAGATGTATTATCCAGTAGGGCTGCACAATACAGATTTTTTTTTTTTTTTCCAATAACAAGGGAATCTCTCAAATAAATTTTAAATACTTTTAATCACCCATTAATAACAAATATTAGTTAAATCTGCGAGACACTAATAAAAATTAAACTCAGACTTCTGAGTTTACGGGTTCGGCTTAAATTGAGTTACTTTTATTGGATTCGCGTAGCATAATTGCTGTAAAAGAATCAAGTATATTACATTGGAAAGTACAAATTTTTCATTTTCAAGTGAAAATGTTTAAATTAGGCTTTTTGATATTGCAACGAATGACCATGAGAATAAGGGTAGGGGTGTGTGTATGTACCGTGGAAAAGAAAAAAAAGAGGCCAAAAAGTGACAGTTTTGAAGCAAGAAACTTGTTTTCACACCAATTTTTTTTTTCTTCATTATTTTCATTTGTTCCCCAAATTAGAACATAAAACCCAAATAAAGAAAATAAGCAATTTGAAAAAAAAAAAAACAATTTGATTTTGCGTAGAGAATGATGGAGAGTAGAGATATGGATGGTTGAGGGAGAAAAAAACAAAGGTATTATGGATATCAATAGTCCTACTTGGAGTATGTTTATTGACCAAATGATTTGTATTACTCACTATCAATCTGAAGTATGTTTATTACTCACTACTTGGAGTATGTTTATTGACCAAATGATTTATCATTACAAAATTTATATTTTTAATGAGGAGTCCAAAATATAGTCATTTAGGACGATTTTTCTTGTTACCCAATAATAAAAATTGAACCCCCAAAAAAAACAAAAATTGAAAAATTGAAAACTATTAGGAAAAATTACACCCAATTCTATGAGATTTATTATTTAATTACTTAGACCCCTGATATTTAAAATATTATATATGGACCTCTTAAAGTTTGTACAGATGTAACACTTAGATGTTTGTGTCAAAATTGTTAGCATATTTATTAAAAAATTATATTCAGAGTCCCTAAAGTTTATAAGAGTATAACACGTACACCTATCAATTTTAAAATATTACACTTAGATATCTTATTAGTTATGGAACTAACGGAACTTATTAAATAACTAAATTACCCCCAATTAAAGATAAAAAAAAAATGTGTCATGAGTTTAAAATCTTTTCCATTGGGGCAACTTTTAATAGATTCTAAAATTTGAAAACTTTCATGTTACTCCCCAAATGTTTTTACAATTCCAGTGGGGTAATATTTAGCAGATTTTAAAATTTCAAAAATTTAACCTTAGTCACCAAATGTTTTTACAATTCTAGTCGAGGTTAGCTGCCCCCACTATAAAATCCGCCCGTCCCTTGGAGCTCCTCTCAAATCTCCTCCATTTTTTTTTTAAGGAGCTCAAAGTCTAACAAATTGACACGAAGGTTATCCAAATTTTGACATACATTAATAATTATAATTTTTTAAGAAAACAATTATATTTTATGTCTGATTTTATTTCAACAAATGACGTAATAGAACATAAATTTTGATTGTAAAATTAAAAATATTTGTATATAATAATTTATTAAAATATTTTTTGTCTAAGTGTAATAATATTTTATACTTGAGGGTCAAAGTATTATATAATTTAAATTTTAGGGATCTGAATATAATTTACTAATAAAACATTAACAGAGTCTATATGCTATGCGAGTATAAATTTTTGAGGATTTATATATAATATTTTAAATATTCAGAGTCTTTTTAGGTTGAGTGACAAACTTTGAAGACTCTGAGTGTAATTTTTTCAAACTAATATCATCTAAATTTAAAGGGTCTTTTTTGTAAAATTAAAAATATTTGTATTTTATCTTTTATTAAAGTTTTTTTTGTCTAAGTGTAATAATATTTTATACTTGAGGGTCAAAGTATTATATAATTTAAATTTTAGGGGTCTGAATATAATTTACTATTAAAACATTAACAGGGTCTATGTGCTATCCGAGTATAAATTTTTGAGGATTTATATATAATATTTTAAATATTAGGGGTCTTTTTAGGTTGAGTGACAAACTTTGAAGGGTCTGATTGTAATTTTTTCAAACTAATATCATCTAAATTTTGGAAAAATACACTTCGACCTTGTTATTATGAATATTTTTCTTACTTTGTCCTCTCAACTATTATATGTTTCACATTGGCATCCTAACTATATGATTAGTTTCTCATTACCTTAATTATTAAAGTCTTTTACATAATTAATAGAAGGTTATTTTATTTTGCCTCCCGAACTAAGTAATGTTTTTTCTTTGCCCTGACATGTCAACAATTTCAGTCCAAAAAGAAAACGGACAAGAGTTATTGGGGCAATATGAAATAATCAATGTAGTTAAAGGAGTAATGTGAAAATTTAAATAATTTAAAGGATAAAGTGAAATAAAATTCATAGTTTAGGGAGTGAGAGTGTAAATTTATCTGCTCGTTTTCTCACCCCAATATCTTCCCTCCTCCGCAAAACCTTATCGGCTGAGACAGAAAACCCTACCCAGTCTCTCTCTCTCTCTCTCTCTCTCATAGCCATGGCCGCCTCTGTTTCGTCTCTCCATTTCTTCTCTCTCACTCCCCAATCCCTTTATCTCTCCGCCTCCAAACCCACGACCACTTCACTATCTCTCTTCTCTTTACCACTCAGAACACTTCCCAAGCTCGTTTCCTTGTCTTCTTCATATAAAATTTTCGAAGCCTCGTCCTCTCGCTTGGTTGGAAAAGTCGCAGTTTCGTCTGATTTTGAGCAATTAGAAGGAGAAGAGGAGGTATTCGAGGACGATGCAGACAAACGTAGTTTCTCACCTGACCTCAAACTCTTCGTGGGTAACTTGCCTTTCAGCGTGGACAGTGCCACTCTGGCTGGGTTGTTTGAACGATTCGGAAATGTAGAGATGGTTGAGGTATTACTTTTCTTACTCCTATTTATTTTATTTGTTCGAATATTTTTGATAACTTGTGTTTGATGTGTGGTATTTCTTCTAAATTTTGCTGGGTTTGGATTATATTGTGTATTGCTTTTGTTGTGTGGCAGATAATAGTGAAGAAATGAAATGGGGAGTTTTGAAAAACTGCCAGGAAGGTTTACAGTAAAATGACTTATGGAGACAAATCAGCCCTTTTAACAATTTGTTGTTTATTTTCATTGAATATAATTATCTTGACATTCCATGTATCAGGACATTCTAGGTGTAGCCATGTAGGTGGTGGTGATTCCTTTCCTTTGTGATTCTGTTTTGGTGAAACATTTTAGAATAATAACTTTGTTATGTTCTGTTTGTTGTTCTGGGGGGAATTTTAGGATGTTAGGTAATAGGGGTTTAATCAACAATGATGACAAGTTTATGCATACTGAAGTGATTGGCTTTGGCAGGTTATATACGACAAGTTCACTGGAAGAAGCCGTGGATTTGGTTTTGTGACAATGTCTTCGGTTGAGGAAGTCAAAGCAGCTGCTCAACAATTGGATGGTTATGTAAGTTTCGTTAGTTTGTTCCCTTTGTTTTTTCAATGTTGCATTGTCTATAGTTTCATTTGCTGTGTTCTGCAACAAAAATACAATGCTTCAATTTTTACATTAACTGTTGACTTAAAAGTTGAGAACTTTGTTTTACTTGGCATAATGCAAGTCCATTTAATCAATTTTATGAGACAAGCGGAGCCTGTACTTGAATCTCACTTGAAAAAACTTATGGCATAAATCGCAATAAATTTTTTTGTGTTTCATATTTTCGAGATTGGAGGGTACAGTCACATGTGACCATTGGTTTATTACATGTATACATTTAATCAAATTTTATGCCATTTGACAGGAACTTGACGGGAGGGTATTGAGGGTGAATTCTGGTCCTCCTCCTCGAAAGGAAGAGTCTTCTTTCCGAGGAGAGTCTTCTTTCAGAGGAGAGTCTTCTTTTAGAGGACCTAGGGGGGGTACAAGTTTTGATAACACTAACCGAGTTTATGTTGGAAATCTTGATTGGAGTGTTGACAATGTAGCTCTTGAAACCTTGTTTGGTGAACAAGGGAAGGTTATGGAAGCCAAGGTGGTTTATGACAGGGACAGTGGCAGATCAAGAGGTTTCGGATTTGTGACTTACAGTTCTGCTGATGAGGTCAATAGTGCAATTGAATCACTGGATGGTGCTGTAAGTATAAGATCAGCCTTCTAATTTTTTTGAGTTATCCTTATGCCATTATAGATCACATATTGAAAGCCTGTGTGTTCATGGTCCTTTTTTATACTATTGGTTTTGTTGATTGAACCATATATTATGATCATATGGTTTCTCATTAGAGCAGCTGTGCATAGTACTAGTCTTGTGTTTGTCCTTTTTCAGTAGCTTGTAAACATACCTCGACCAAACTGAAAGCTATATTTTCAAGTTTATAAACGTTGGACCTTGTTTGGTGTCCATTTAATACTGTTTATCATGTAAGAGTAATTGTGTTATTGTGAAATGTATTGGACGTCTGTAATAATCATAAATTTCGTGCATTTTCTTTTGAATAAATTCATGGATTTCTTTCTCCTATTTATCTTTTGCTATCAGAATCGAATTCGCATGCTTGACCTGAATTTTGATATGCATGCCATTTATTTTAGTACCAGATATGTAGTAAGTTTGGAATATTTCATGTAATTTTGGCCTAAATATATGCTTCAAATGCAGGACCTTAATGGCAGAGCAATCCGTGTTAGTGTTGCTGAAGCTCGGCCAAGGCGTCAATTTTGATCGTTGAATCTTTATTGCTACATTCAACCAAGCAAAACTCAGGGTATAAATCTGGCGCTGTCTTTCTGCTTTCTCGTAAACATTCTTCTCAAAATTAGTTGCTAACAGACGGACTTACATAGTATATATGTAGACAAATCAAGTCTCAAAAGGGATTATTAAGATTGTGAAGCCTATGCAGAGTTGTTTCATTACCCATTTTGTCATATATGGAGCCCTATTGCAAGATTAGTCTCTTGTATTTCAATTGTTGTCCTTTTGTTTTCATATTTGTTTTGAACTCTCAAGTTCACTATCTTCCTTAAACAAATTTATGTTCAAGTTTTACTGTTAATTAAATGAGTATTTTCCCTCATTTACTTTTGGAAAAAGAGTGTTTTCCTGGTTGTTATCTTACACTTCTAATTTTTACAATATATTGATTTCTGTAACAGGTCCTAGAGCTATGCAAGTGCAAGATAGGTTGAAGTTCATCAAATGATATGAAGTCCATATACTTTGGTCCTTAAACCAAAGCTGAAATTGTGGATTAAGTCTCATTCTCCTGACCAACAGGAGCAAAAGCATCTGAGTGTAACTTTTTGCAATATATGTTTTAAATATTATTCAGATGATGTGCGTTGTAGCCAATTACTTGTCATTTTGGTGCTGTGGGCAGATGATTGTTGTATCTGATGACTTTCTGGTATATGCGTTATGAGAATTTTGTGATAGTTAACTGAATGTGCAGGGGATTGTTAACCTTGTGTAAGTACAGACAGAACCCAAGGCCTTGGTTATATTTGGAGTAGGTATCCGGAAAACCTTGTCAAGGTGCTGGGATAAAAGTCATAGACATACTCTATTGACTGCAATTCATGTGTTTGGTAGTTCAGGTAAGCCCACTTAAACTTTATATTTGTTTGACTGCATGTATTAATGAATCAGGGGAATTTTGGTGTCTCACGGTGGTGACTCATCTATGGCGGAAAAAATGTGGAACTTCGAAAAAATCCCAAAGGTGGGTTCTACACAAATAATGAATTCACCATGGTGAAGTCCTTCATGTCCCTTGGTTCCACTCCACTTGCAGTGCTCTTGTAAAAAGCTATTTGGTTTCTGTTCTGCCACAGCCAATCACAATCCTCCGGTTAAGTTAGGTTGGCAGGGTTCGTAAAACTTGGGGTGAATTTTGACCTCCTTTAGACAAGAACATCAATATGGTGTTGGCCACATCTAACCTTAGTTCTTGGGTGTAATGGATGCTTGTGATTCTGATGCGATGCAGGTATTGGGAACACTTTTACAGTGTTGCTGTTCATCATTCGTATTGTTTGTTGGGGACTTGCATGCACTTTCAGGGTCCAATAAGTTCTTTGCCTCGAAACCTTTCAACTTGATTATTGCCGTGTTTAGATTTTTGAATTTGTATTGAACTTGGGTTGAGGCCACGGGCATGATTTCCGGAGCAACAACGTTACTAAAGGTGGTTCGTGAATAAAGGACTTGACTGTGGTACCAAAAAAAATTAAAGTATTTGCCTACCCACTGCAGCCTTAGCATCATTTTTATTATCAAATGAGAAAAATTCCAAAATTATTTTTGACCTTTTTGACTCCCTCATCGCAGTTATTTGGGTGGTATTGTGAGATTAAAAAAATTAAATTCGTCCTAGAACACACGAAATAATGATATGAACTAAGTAAATAGAAATGAAAAATAAAATTTTAAATTGCAGCAAGGAAAAAAGATCAGAATAGTGGAACGGCAGCTTAGCTTCCTACAAATTGATGCTGCCTCAGCTTAGTTGTAAATTTATATAATAAAACTCAAAGCTTGGCCGTAAAAGTATAGCAGTGGTCCAAATTGTTTAGAGCTGATGACGTATATAAGCGATTAACATTTTAACTGTAAACTTGTTTATTTATATTTAACCTTATAATCATATTAAATATTTTAATAGCACACAATAAACTATAATTAAAAAAAAAAAAAAGTGTGCCTTGCACGGATACCATAGTCTTCTATAAGGAAATTGCCAGAATTTTGTGTTCTGTTTTCTCTTCTCTGCAACATCGTCCACTGCTAAAGGTAGTCAGTGGTGAGAGATCACTCTCTGTTCAATAGGCCGACTGATGGGTCAACTAATATTAGCAATTTATCTCTTTGATGGTGGACCCATTAGAATAGATCCATCTCTCTGTCCTCTTCTCTTGCTGATCCATTCCTCTAACAATTCAAACTTCCACTTCCAGAATATGAAGTAATAAACGTTAAAACCCAACTTTTTTTTAAGTTAAATTCCTTAAACTGTATGTGTATGTACATATAAACTTTGACGAAATTCAAGGTTTTTAGTCACTTTGACAAGATTCTGAAAAATGGCAACACTGTTCCATTGCCCCCCAACAAATACTTCCTTTGTGTTTTCAGTCATATATAATCAGCAAATATTAGTCCCTTAGCTTCAATGGAATTCTCAGCTGAGAAGAAGTGTGGAAGAATGAGAAGGCCTTTACATTTCCAATAATATTTCTAGCAGCCAACAGGACCAGACCAATACATGTATGTAAGTTCCCTTAGCCTGTTTCATCAAGTTGCAAACAACAGAACGATTGTAGGAGTCTTCTTCATCCTTGCGTTGCAATAATATCTGTTGAATTGCCCCCCCCCCCCTCTCCCTCCCCAAGATTGTACTGCTTTTAGCTTTCAAACTTTTTTATACTTTGCTTTCACATGATTCCCAATGCCGTACCTACGAAAAGGCCACCCATTCTTTGTGATTGTGAATGATGAGCCTTTAAATCAAATCATTTTTTTGTGACACATGCCCTGATGTTTATGTTGCTATGGTTTTATTGCGTAGCAGATGAAATCCACTTATTAACTCATAGCACCCGTGTAATCTGAGCGGCTCAATGGATTTTGGTAATTCAAAATCTGTGAGGTTTGTTCATCTCTTTCCTTTAACTTGTATTATGAACTTTTGTATCAAGGTGAATATTGTTCTATAATAATTGCTTTGTGCTAGTGACACTCAGAATATAATAGTCACCAGATATTTGTTGTCAGATTTCAAGATGATCTTGAAACTGCAAAGTTGGCAACACCCAAAAGAGGCAATTTGTTCAAGCTCAGCTCTGTAATCAGTGGAAAACAAACACCCGAGTCATGCATGAAGATTCCTACGGCAAAGATAATAGGGAAGCAATTTCAAGAGAAAAAGCTTTTGAGAGTTTTCTCTGAGGACTATGATGTGGTGCAGAAGAACATACTAGATCCTCGAGGAACTGTTGTAAACCGCTGGAACAAATGTTTCTTAGTTGCTTGCCTTATTTCCCTTTTCGTCGATCCCCTATTTTTCTATTTGCCAGAGGTGAAAGAGGATATGTGCATGGAAGCAAGTGTGCCCCTTGAGATAGCCCTTACAGTTGTTCGATCTCTAGTTGATGCATTTTACATCATCCAGATTTTTGTCCGGTTTCGAACTGCTTATGTTGCTCCGTCCTCTCGTGTGTTTGGGAGAGGAGAGCTGGTTATAGATTCTACAAAGATAGCCTCAAGATATATGCATAGAGACTTTTGGCTTGACCTATTGGCTGCTCTACCCCTTCCACAGGTAATGACAAACAACAATCGATCTTTTGAGAGGTAGCACTTAGTTTCATCGAGACTGAGCATCAAATTAGATTAACTATGAATTGCAAATTTACAAGCATCATTTTTATTGAAAAGCCTGTGAACTTCTTTTATTGTAAATGTTTCTAGTTTTTCTGGGGTGAAGGATGAAGAAACTTTGCCTTTCTAATCTGTTTTTGTATGCCTTCCTCTTAGGTTTTTTATTTTTTTACTAATTAGTAGTATTAGGATCTGCATTTGGTGGAAGGGAAGTTGTTTCCAATAGATGACTACGATTCATCGCTTTAATGTGCTCCTCAGATTTGCATAGCATAACAGTAAATCTATTCACTGTTTTATGGTTTGTCTTCAATCAGGTGAAATTATCTAGACCTTTAAACTATAATTATTGAGTTATCAAATTTTGGTTGTACTGGTCGAATTTGAAACATATAAGGAATTTAAAGTCTGCTTTCGATAATAAAGAAGTTTTTGTTGAAAACTATTTCAGGTGTTGATTTGGGCTGCAATCCCTTGTCTAAGAGGTTCAACAATGATAAGTGCAAAACTCATCCTACGATTCACTATAATTTTTCAGTTCCTCTTGAGGCTCTATCTTACCTTTCCGCTCAAATCTCAAATTACTAAGGCCACTGGGGTGGTGGCGGAAGCGGCATGGGCTGGGGCAGCTTATAATCTGATTCTCTTTATGTTGGCAAGCCATGTAAGCTTTTATTTCATTTTGCTATCTTACAGAAAATTCATGATAAATCAACTATGCTTTTGCATGCACTTATGCTTTTAGGAAAATTGCATTGTATAAAACAAAATTAGCGAAACTTATCTAGAGTCTCCACTGAATCAATTTGATATATGATTCTTCATGAGCTGTTTTGGATTTTCAAAAGATACTGAGAATTAAATGCAGAAGTCAGTCATAGTGACTCTCTCTTTCTCTCTCTCTCTCTCACACACACACACACACACAGAGACGCACATACTCATAGCTGACAGTGTGATTCTTCAAGAAAAATTGGTCATTAATTTCACTCACTTTCGTGAAGGTTATTGGTTCCTGTTGGTACCTTTTGGCGATTGAGCGGCAGGAACATTGTTGGAAAGAAGTTTGTAATAATGAACATCCAAATTGCCAGTATTGGTATTTTGACTGTCGTACCATGTATGCTTCTAATAGAGCAGCTTGGTTCAAATCAAGCAAAATTTCAGCAATATGTGGCCCTGCGGGTGATTTCCAGTATGGAATTTATGAAGACGCATTGACATGTGAAGTTACATCATCAAAATTCTTCAACAAGTACTTCTATTGTCTCTGGTGGGGTCTAAGGAGCCTAAGGTAACTAACCTTCCATTTGGAAGAAATGATGGAAAGTAGGAGGGACGCACTTTTTATCCTCTAAAAACAAGAAAGTAGGAATGATACATTTTTTTTCCTTTGCGTTTGATAGGATGGAAGGAAAATAGAAATGATTAATTTTTTTGTGTTTGGTATTGATGAAAAAAATAGAAGTATAGATACAATATACATACATAATTTACTATTTTTTCCTTATATGAGATTAGTGTATATATTATACACCATATCACTATGGTATGTGTGTCATGTGTTTTAATAAACACAAATTACATAAAAATACATCTATTTTTTTATTTGATTTTTAAATAAAAAATAAACACACTAGTATACAAACACATATACACAGTGTTAAAATATAATGTAATTCCACCGATTGGTATATGAGTTTGGATTTAGGTGTTTAATGTAAATAAGTAATTAGTTAAAGGTTAAAAAAGTAAATAACATATTTTTATCCAACGTGAGTGCCATTTTTCTTTCTTTTCCGCCTAATTTTGGAGGGATTGATTGATTTTTATCCATCCTTCCAACTTTTCATCATTTCATTATACCAAATGGAGCAGAGCAGCTAGAGCCCCATTGAAAAATGAAACCATTCCGATTTATTTTTTGTGGCAATTTAGAGCACCATTCATCCTTTTGAATGGAGGTGAAGAACAAGTTCGTTAAACTAGTGGCCGAACCTGAAAAAAAAGTACATATAACTTTGACCTTACAACTAAAAACTTCTGTCTGCTATTTAATCAAAAACAGATGAATCTGGAAATTTATGCCTAGTTTAGTTTTTGCACTTAGTTCTCCACTCTGCAGATGAAGGCATCTTCTTTGATATATTTCAAATTAACTACTTCGTCATTCGTATTGATTTATGCAGCTCTGTAGGGCAGGACCTCGCCACAAGCACCTATTATGGAGAAAATAGTTTTGCCATCATCATTGCAATTGTTGGGTTGGTGCTGTTTGCATTGCTTATTGGGAATCTACAAGTAAGTTTAGCAATAGGAATAGTGTTATGATGTAAGGTTCGCACATCTTTAGTAATCTAACAAGTTGTAGTTATATCTGTGCAAGTGTCGCTGTTTTACTTTTCACTAAATATTGAGCAAATGAATTCTAACTAATCGTTCAAACCAGAAAATTTGAAGTATTTATTTGTCAAGTTAATTTCATTGCAAAAAGCTTGTTCCACCTTCTACATGGGTGGAAGTTGAAGACTATTTGGAGGGAAAAGAATAATTTCTAATTTTGAATTAGGATTCTTTCGGGCTCGTTTGGTAACGTTTACGATTTTTGATTTTCTAAAAAACGAAAACATAATCAAAAAACGAAAAACATCTTTTTCTCATTTTTGAAAATCCCCTCGTTTACAAAACGATGACAGAAAAAAAAAATAAAAACGGTTATCAAACAAGTTTTTTTTTATTTTCTCTAAATATCAAAATAAAAACAAAAAACGAAAACATAGGGCCTATTTAGTTTGCGTTTCAAAAACTAGTATCTGAAAACAGTTTTTGAGAAAAGTTTTACGAAAGTGGTTTTGATATTTTTTTAGATAAAAAACTTGTTTTGTTATATGATTTCAAAAATAATTTTATAAAACATAAAATAGTAAAATTGTTTTGACAGTCTAAATATATATTTGAACAGTAATTCAAACATTAATAAAAAAATATAAAAATTTATTTTTATATTAACAATTTCATAATATATATATATAAAGTATATAAGTGTATATATTATATATACATATGAATATAATATATTATATTATATAATATATATATTATATTATATAATATATATATTATATAATATATTATATTATATAATATATATATTTATAATATAATATATTTTATATAACATATTATATTATATAATATATATTATATAATATATATATATTATATAATATAATATATATAATATATATTATATATTATTAGAGAGAGAAAGAAGTAAAAAAATATATATATGAATGAATAAATTTGTTGTTAAGGAGACTCAAAGGGTAGATCTCACTAAAATTTAAAATTATTGTTCTTATTTTCAAAGAATACTCTAAAAGTAAGTTAAATTTATTTATTATTTTTTTTTTTTTGACTCAAATGTCATTTTTTTTTCAAAATGTGGAGAGCAAAAAAACTAAACAAACATGCAATTTCCGGAAAGGCCACAATGTTCAGCTGTTTTCTTTCTCTATTAATAGACATACCTTCAGTCCACTACTGTACGAATAGAAGAGTGGAGGGTTAAGAGAACTGATACAGAAGAATGGATGCATCACAGGCAGCTGCCCCATGAGTTAAGGGAGAGAGTGCGCAGGTATGATTTATTTAAATGGGTTACAACTCGTGGAGTTGATGAAGAAGCTATTCTTAAAGGCCTTCCCCTTGATCTCGGTCGAGATATCAAGCGTCATCTCTGCCTTGATCTAGTTCGCCGAGTAAGTTTTAGTTCCTTCCCTCATCATTCACGACGAAAATGAGAGAATAATGAGGAAATGAGCATGTGCTCTTCATCTGATAATACTCCTGGTTATCAACGTAAAACAGGTGCCACTCTTTGATCAAATGGATGAGTGTATGTTAGATGCCATATGCAAAAGGCTGAAAGCTGTTTTATGCACTCCGGGCACCCGCCTAGTCCGTGAAGGTGACCCTGTCAACGAAATGCTCTTCATTGTTAGAGGCCACCTAGATTCCTTCACGACTGATGGAGGCCGGACTGGATTTCTCAACTCATGCCGAATTGGTCCAGGTGATTTCTGTGGCGAGGAACTATTGACCTGGGCGTTGGACCCACGTCCAAGTGTTAGTCTTCCTTCCTCTACTCGCACGGTAACAGCCCTCTCGGAAGTTGAAGCTTTTGCTCTCATTGCAGAGGATGTGAATTACGTAGCATCTCGGTTCCGCAAGCTACATAGCAGACAAATAAGGCACACATTCAGGTCTCATTCACACCAGTGGAGGACTTGGGCTGCTTGCTTTATACAAGCGGCTTGGTTTAGATACAAAAGAAGGAAAGAAGCAGCTAAGCTCAAGGCTCAGGAGGGCCATGTAACCCCGTCACCAGCAATCAAACAAAATGGCATGCCCTTGCCCCAATTGGCCTCAGAGTTGGCCATGTATGCAGCAACATTAACAGCAAGCACTAGAAAGGGTGGGAGCATGAGGGATACTAGTGAATTTGACATCCTCAGTTCATTGCAGAAACCAGTGGAACCGGATTTTTCAATTGATGATAGGTAAAAGGGAGTGGCACAAGCCTCGTGCACTTGGTCGCCCTTTCTTCTTGGTATGTTTCTTGTATGTTAATTTTGTTAGGTGATATATAAGCGGGATTTTTCTGGGTGGTTTCCTAGTTTTTAATATTCATCTCAAGATCACTGCTTTCATGGTACAGCAGTCGTGTATATGAAATGTATAATGGCATTGTCCTTTATGTTCTTTGAAGAGTAGGAATACAAACAGTGTTCTTATTTAGGAGTAGAATGCCCTTATATATATTTGATGTTTGGTTTCTCCAATGCACCAATCTGTTCCCAATATTCTGTTATTTCTGTTGCTTTGGCTTGAACTTATGAAGGTCTAGACCTGATTTGTTGGTAACATATGATTTGTATTACAAGTTCCAACTCATGGAACTGCTCATATCTTTGTTCATAACACAAAAAATTTAAAAAGAAAGAAAAAACTGAAAAATGGAGTTCAACTTCAATGCAGCATCAAGTACAACAAAAAATTCTATACAAACCCTATGAAAATCATCATGAAACGAAATTCAGTAAATTTTGTAGAATATGTTTTCCCGGCTATTTTTCAACGAAATTCGGTAAATTTTGTAGAATATGTTTTCCTGATTATTTTTTGTTGGAGTATAGATAGTCTAATTTATTAGGATTTCTTTTCTCTTTTTTACCCTTACTATGATTTTTATATTTTGCCTAAACTACAAGGATGTTTAAGTCACTCTGTATTATTTTTGAATATATATACGGGGCTCTACTCTTAATTTGAGTATCCCTTTTCACTTACGTTTATTCCAAGTTGGTATCAGAGCCATACACTAACCCTACCTCAAACCCTAACCTTCTCCCTAACCTAGCCTCCACCGAGATTGCCTCACCGGCAAACTGCCTTCAAGCAAACCCAGCAACCCACAGCCTGCCTGCCCACCAACCAACATGCGTGACTGTCCATCCACCGACTGAAACCAAAACCAGAAAACATCATCCACCGACTGAACATACAACCCCATGCGTGACTGTCCATCCACCGACTGAAACCAAAACCAGAAACATCCACCGACTCCATACCAGCGAACCAAAACCAGCGAAATAGAAAAACGCTGAACCAAAACCAGCGAAACTCCACCGACTCCATATAAACGCCACCGACAACCTGCTGCCCAGCGAAAACACAAGCCCCAAAGCCTTCCACCGACTGCCCATCATACCTATCCTTATCCTCATAACAGCCTTCCAGCCCCTAGCCGCAACACCAATACACACAACGCCCAGCCTACTGTCGGGTCGTGTTTCTTGTTTAGCTTTATCCTTTGCACTCTTTGTCACAGTGCTACCAGATTACAGTATCTAGGATTCCCTTTTTTTTTATGAGGGGTTAAATCCTCTTCTTTGTCCGTTGATTTGCTCTTGATGCAGTAAGATCATTTATATTTATTGGATTTCTGGGCACCGTGACTTGATTATTTGAGAGTTTTCTGGACCTTCTTTATTTGTCGCTACTGTTCGACTGGAGGTATATATTTCTCCCTTATTTTATTCCTCTATTTATCTTAGAGTTATTTTTCTGTCACGGGTGCCCTAGTATTGTTGTTGATATGACTACTACTGAGGGACTTGAGAACCCTACTGTTGACACCTCTACCGTTGAGACATCTATGGGTACTTCCACTTTTATGTTTGACCAGTATACAGTGCCTACTAGCACAGTTGCATTACCAGCATTACCGGACATGATCTCTCAAAAAGTTACGGCACAATTGTTGAATAGTCGTAACTTCGCTGAGTGGTCACGCTCATTCCAGCTTTTCTTAGGTCGTGTAGGGAAGCTTGGTTGGCTGACGGGATCTCACCCAAAGCCAGTTGATGCCGACCCTGGATATTCTGCGTGGTTCTCTGAAAACTGTGTCATTCTTGGATGGTTATTTGGCTCAATGGAGCCCTCTGTCTGCAGGATCCACCAGTTTCATAGCTCTGTTCCGAAGCTATGGAGCCCATTATCAGAGATGTATTCTCAGTCAGGACGGGGGAGTTCGTGTTTATGAGCTTTCTCAGGAGCTCTCATATGCTCGGCAGGGAGATATGACCATTCAGGATTATTATAGCTATTTGACCCAGCGCTGGCTTGAGTATGAGACTCTACGTCCTCTTGCTGCTATTCCGAAGATAGAGCCCGAGGGAGCAGCATTCTTGCATACTCGAGAGTAGGAGGATATGATTCACAAGTTCCTTATGGGGCTTCGTGATGAGTTTGAGGGACCTCGTTCTCAGATCTTGTCGATGTTGACACTTCCTTCTCTTTATGAGGTGTATGGGATGATTGAGCAGCATGAGCGTCGAGTCCGTATTGCATCACTTCCAGTTGCAGCTTTGACTCCTTCGATTGACCAGATGGCCCTTGCAGCTGCTGTAGGGTCCCGTTCAGGATCCTTAGTCAGGGATGGGCAACGCTCAGACCAGCGCCGTCAGGGCGCCCCAGATCAGCGCAGACGGGGGGATTCCCGTCAATGTGACTATTGTGGCCGACCAGGACATCTCAGGGCTACTTACTGGAAGCTCCATCCAGAGCTTAAGCCACCTTCTCGCAGCCGTACTGTTGCTATTGCTGAGGTACCACCGCCCACTACCGCCACTCCTGCTACTGCTCCTCCTTGGCAAAGTGATATGGATGCTATCACTTCCCGATTAGATATACTTATGTCTGCTCTGACTTCTCAGAGTCTGACTACTGCTGCTGTCACCACTACAGGTATATCTCGTGCCTTTCACGCTTGTGCCAGTTCATCTCCCCTTTGGATGTTGGACTCGGGTGCGAATGGTCACATGACAGGTGAGGCCCATCACTTCACCACTTTTGACGAGCCGTTACATACACAGGTTCAGTTAGCAGATGGAACACATGCCCCTATTGTTAGTAGGGGTACAGTCCGTCTCCCAGATGGCCTTACATTACATTCGGTTTTTCATGCGCCAAAGTTGGCCATGAATCTATTATCTGTACATCAGTTAGCCAGAGATTTTCACTGTGCGGTTGTATTCTTATCTGATTCGTGTTATTTGCAGGACCTGAGTACCAGGAGGATTATTATCAAGGGACATGAGAAAGATGGACTGTATTATCTTGGCAATCCATCTCCAGTTTCACCAATTCCTTCACCTTCACCTGCACCTGCTTTGTCTTTTTCTGTTCCTAGCTTGCATGCTAGTATTTTACCTAGTAGTTGTCGTTATGATTTTTCGTCACAAACTGTTCAATTGTGGCATGACCGTTTTGGACATACAAATTTTAAATATTTATGTATGTTGTTTCCTGCTTTGAGTAATGCTTGTGTTGGTGGTAAACTTGATTGCGTTATCTGTTCCCTATCAAAACATGTTAGGGCCAATTATATTCCTCGCATGCACCAGTCACCCAAGCCATTTGACCTAATACACTCTGATATTTGGGACCCTCTCCCGTTACTGCTCTGTCAGGTGCCAGATATTATGTGACATTTATAGATGATCATACCCGTTGTACTTGGGTCTACCTTTTGCATAGGAAGTCTGATGTGCTCCCTATAATCACTCAGTTTTTACAGATGATTAAGACACAATTCGATGTCATTGTTCGTGCTCTTCGTTCGGATAATGCCAAAGAATATGTGTCTGATGCTTTAGTGTCTCACCTTTCTTCTCAGGGTATCCTTCAGCAACTCACTTGTCCATATACTCCTGAGCAAAATGGTGTTGCTGAGAGGAAAAATAGGAGTTTGATAGGGATGGTACGTTGTCTGCTTAGAGGCATGAGGGTACCAAAATCTTATTGGCATTTTGCTGTTTTGACTTCTACCTTTCTGTGCAATCGTACGCCGAGTCGTGTTCTTCAGCATAAGGCTCCCTTACAGGTCTTATTTCCTGAGCGGACACTTTTTCCGGTCCCCCCTCGTGTTTTTGGATGCACATGTTTTGTTCAGGATCGGTCTCCTACTCGTCATAAACTTGATGATAAAGCGATTCGTTGTATCTTTGTGGGCTATTGTCATCAATCTAAGGGGTATCGATGTTATGATCCTATTAGGCGTCGTATGTATCACAGTCTAGATGTTACCTTTCTTGAGCATATTCCTTATTTTCCTTTCAGTCCTTTGTCTGCCCCTCCAGTTGATGATACTCCCTTTGATTTTCCATTACCACAAGAGTCAGAGTCATTGATCACTATCCCTACAGGGTCATCCGTTTTTCCTCCAAAGGAGTCACTCATCCCTGTCAGTACAGAGTTACCAGTCTCTCTTCCTTTGCAGGTGTATGTTCGTTGTCCTCGCTCTCATCACCCTGCTGATATCCCCTCTACCTCAGGCGATGCAGGTAATACTTCTCAGTTTGTTGAGCATATTGATGCACCTGTTGTTAGTACTGATGAGATTACAGGTGCTGAGCCAGTTACTTTACCTGATAAGATATTATCAGTAGAGGATGGTGATTTAGGGCGTCGTTATCCAAGGCGTGATCGCCGTCCAGTTGATCGATATGGTTGGACCGCCAAGATTTTATATCCGATCTCTGCTTATGTTTCTTATGGTGATCTGTCTCCCACATTTCGAGCTTATACTATGGCCTTATCAGATACGCCGGTTCCTCGCTCTATTTCGGAAGCTATGCGGGAGCCCCAGTGGGTTCTTGCCATGCAGACAGAGATGGACGCTCTTCAGCGTAATCATACATGGGATCTTGTCTCCTTACCTTCAGGGGTGAAGCCTGTTGGCTGTCGCTGGGTTTACACCCTGAAGTTTCTTGCGGATGGTACTATTGATCGTTACAAGGCTAGACTTGTGGCGAAGGGCTTTACTCAGGTACCAGGTCGTGATTTTGGTGCTACATTTGCCCCCGTGGCAAAATTGACTACTGTTCGGTTGATTATTTCTCTGGCTGCGGAGTACTCTTGGCCTCTTCATCAATTAGATGTGAAGAATGCGTTTCTTCACGGTGATCTGGACGAGATTATTTATATGGATGCACCACCGG